AGCAAGCGAAAATGTGACTAATGTGCCTTATCGGGAGGCTGTAGGATTTCACTCATGTGAAAGTCTGTAGGATTTCACTCATATCAGATTTTCGGTCTTGGAACACAATCTGACTAAAAACATCTTATCTCTGATAGAAATGTATGCAATTTTTCTAGATTTTCCTATCCAGTTATTATCTAATATTACTGTATTCTCATTAGTTGTGCCAATACTGAGTAGAAAATGGACGAGAACTTGATAGAGTTTTATTGTGTCCATTTCATGAGCAGTTTGCTTGCTTATTAATCAATTTAATATTCATTATTTGTGGTGTTTCTATTCAGAAAAAATAAATGGATTCAGATTTTATGCAACTTTTGTATGCAGTAATTGCGAACAAAGCGTTACATCCTGATTGAGATCCTAAGTAGGTTTCCTTCTCAGTTACTAAACAAAAGTTGGTATAACTGTTCAGTAATTGCTCAAAAAGTATATGAAATTTCTATCAGGGATGACGCAATTTTAGACACTTTTGTTGTCTGAGAAGTATATAACGAGTCATTTCCATTCCCTGACGATAATGTTGTAACTCTCATTTTGTAATAATTGATTATTACCATTTTTTTGTCTACCCTCTTCTCCTTCTTTTATATTTGTGTCATATTGTTTTCCTCTAATTTCACATTTCGAACATTTACTTTGTACTAAAAAGAAAAGAAACATCACAATGAATTATAATAACAGATAAAAAATAGTTATTAAAAATAGTTTTTGTACATGATATTGTAGATATAATTAAATTAAAGTAATATATCAAACTTTACGAATTTATGTGATGTGTTGTATACAAATTAAAAATTAGACATTACGAGATATTAGGAAATATTTACACGTAATATATAAATTACGCATATCTTTCCTAACAGCTGCTTTTATATATTTATATTTTTTTTTGTTCTCTTGCTGCTAATAAACGCACATCCATTTTACTTAAATTGTTTAAATATTTACAATTTCACGTTTTGCGTTTCACTGCCGCGTTGAGAATTAATGTGTATTAACGGTAATTCACATGCAGTAATGCATCATTTATGTGTACGTTTTTCAATGGTCAATAATAATCACAAAGTTTAGGATTTTTCCAACGAGGCACATCAAAAATATTAGCAATCTTTTTGTATAACCTATCGAAAGCTTAGGAGAGGAAAAATGATCAATTATGACTGACAGTTCGAAGAATCGAATTTTCTGTTAATATAGTATATTTTCCGTTACTAGCAGTAACAGAGAAACTCGATACAAATCGATTGTTAGTCATAATTGTGAATAATTTTCAGTAAATATTAATAAAACGGAATTTCTAAAATAAAAAGTTATACATTAATTGAATTTATTAGTGATAAGAAAAAGGAATCTGTTGATTGCGTTCCGAGTAATTGGATATTTTTTAATGGAAAAGAAGGAACTTCTTTCTTACCACGACCATACACAATCAAAAAATGTCAAGAGTTTCATGATGTTGTAAAAGCACAAAGAAATCCAGACAGCAAATGGTCTTCGTGTGCCATTTTAGTTAAAGAAGAAGTAGATATAGGTTTATATGAAAATATTACTTAACCTCTTCAGATCCGGCGCATATTATTTATAATGTACATCAAATTTGAATCATATTCCGTTGAAATTACTTAATTCTATCGACATTATCAAAGAGATTAGACATAGAAATTAATTGTTTAGTATAAATTGTTTAGTATAAATTATTTATTAAATGCATATATTGAATTTAAAAAAAATAGTTTTAAAACTAGTTTTTTTTTATTCTAATGATTCCAATACTGAGAGAAAGGAATTTATTAATTTAACAAGCCACCAGTACCTTTAACAAATGATCGGTAAATATGTGACAATAAAATTGATTTGTTGTAATTGCTACTATATCTATATAATCTGTGATACTGTGCCTGTAATTTTTATAGATTCTTATGAAGATGCACTGCAGCGATTGGACCGTTTAAAAAATGCAAATTATGCTTTTACAACGGATTGTGATAGTGATTGAGCAGAAAAAAATTGATAAACTTATTGTGCAAATTAACTAAATTATATTGTGCCAAAAACTAAAAAAAGGAAACAAGAAATAGATACTGTTTTAAATAACACGTCATCTGTTAAAAAAAAAATAGAGTATTGACAAATTCATTGGAAAGTCGTTATGCACAAATTAAAATTGTAGCGATGAAACAAATTAAAATTGTAGTGATGAAAAACGAAAGTTTGAATTTACAAATAATATTCAAGTAGGAGAATATTAAATTATTTAATATCTATACTTAAAAAATATATTTAATATCTGTTATAATATCTGTTGATAATATTCTAAATATAAAATCGAACGATAAAAATTATTCGAAAGAAATTTCTACAGGTAAGAAAAAGGTAAAATCATTTAGAAGGCAACCGTTAAAAGATATATACAAATCGAAAAATAGAATATATAAATGATATAATAACATACCTTTTCTATAAAACACATCTTAATTTTAAAATTCGAGGACCATCTATAAAATCAATAGAAAAGATCTCTTCGCCTATATAATAATAAAGCACTACAATAATAAAGCAGTTGATATCGACCAACCATCTACAAGTAACAATGCTGTTAATTATAATACATTAGAACGTCAAGAAGGACCTACATCAACAGATGAAAAAATGGAATGCAAGTAACATAATATCCCCTCTTTACATTATATTATCCTTCACACATGACCCTTCTCATAATCAATAATCAGTTTTTTGGTTGCAGGTATGGCATACGTTTATATACATACGTTTATACATACATATATATGAACGTACGTATAAATCTATATATATAAACATTTTAACATATGAACGTACATATGTATGAACGTATAGTATGTATGTAGGATATTCAATATGTATGCACATTAAGTACGTACGTATGTACGTATATTCAATATTGCGTATCTTACTTTTTGCGAAGCGTTGAATCTCTTATGGTCGCAGACGTTCTCTCTCGCATCTGCATCATCTCTCAGCCTTCTCTACTACTATTGTATGTTCTCGATTTACTACTTGTCCACTACTATTGTATTCAGTCTTGTATTCAGTTTTTAATATTAATGTATCTTAAATTTATGCTACGTCACGTTACGTTTTTATTGTATATTCTGTAATTTAACTTTTGTACTATATTGTAAATTTATGTTTTATGTTCGCTTTTGCGTTTTTTACACTCTAATTCTTTACTCTCATTTGCCGATAGGCGTTAAAGCAACAGACTTTACTGGTGCCTCACAATTTTGTGCACCTAATTTTTGTACACTTAATTTTTTTCGTTTAACTCTGTAGCCATGTTTCTTGTTATTTTGTAAATAATGCCATGTTTCTTGTTATTTTGTAAATAATGCACAAATAAATTAAATTAAAAATTAAATAAATTTAAATATGTACATTAAGTACGTATGTACATATTGTATGTACGAATGAACGTATGTACGATTTTTTTTTAACATTACCGTTCGAAAGTTATATAATTAATACTAATAACAATTGAGCAATCCACTACAAACATCTGGACCTTAATCGGGTCACTTTCAATACAAATACAGACAAATTATGATATTACAGACTATAAGATATGTATCCGGCAATGATTGTGTGTCATTTTGTTTATTTGATCTCTGCAATTGCTTTTTTCACGTGGATCTTTGAAATCTTTCTGATTGCAGAACTTGTTGCGCGTTGCATATAATGCAAAATTGTCATAACTTGGTACATGTCTGTACAACTGTGTTTTTTATGTTCGAACTGAAACATTGCGTGGAGCGCGTGTACTTTGAACTGTGTCAATATGTAAATAGTATGAGTGAAGAAATTAAATAATTTTTACTGCCAAAAGTTGTATTGTCAGTAAATTCAGTGTTGAAAGTACTTATCACAAAATTTATGATAACGTTTCTATTATAGAATACAAATAGTTCGCGCTTTAAATAATATTGAAAACCAACAATTGGTAAGTGAACATTGTTTTTCAAGGGGACATGTATGAACACACAATTATAATATAATATTTTATAATACTATTAATACCATTATAATATGATTGGAAACAAGACCGTCTATATGAATATTAAGACTTTAAATACAAAGCGCCTTTTCGGTCGAGTGTTAAGATGTTGAACTACTATCTAATATACATTCAATTAAATTGAATTAATATTTCAGAAATAAATTGAGAGCCGATGGATTTATCGGATTCACACAATCAATCTGAAACAAATAATCCCCCCCAAA